ACAGCACAATATAATGCATCCTTCTATCTCATTTCATTTATTTTATGTGATAGTTGCCTTGTTTTTTTTCTTCTTCTCTGTATTTCTGTGTAGGGATGCATTTGTGCTCGCTCTCATCAACAGTGGAACCAGTTTCTTTGCCGGCTTTGTGGTATTCTCTGTGCTGGGTTTCATGGCTACAGAACAAGGAGTGGACATCAGTAAAGTAGCCGAGAGTGGTATGAATACACCTTCCCCCCTGAAACGCTGTGCAATTTGTATTAAGTAATAAGCATCACCAGTGAGAGCCACATGTCCACAGTGATGGCTCTGTTTCTTAATGTGCAGGTCCAGGCCTGGCCTTTATAGCCTATCCCAAGGCTGTGACTCTGATGCCTCTGGCACCGCTCTGGGCAGCACTTTTCTTCTTCATGTTACTCATACTGGGGCTGGACAGTCAGGTACTAATGACTGACTTTCCTTTATATCATAATTTTGGAGAAAGAACTCATCTTACACAAGATATATACTAATTTTACTTGAATCTTACGTGCTTTTATTTTTTGGTGTCAATCTAATTCCTTCTCTTTTTCTATCATTCTTTCATTCACCAAAGAGAGACAGAAACAGCCTGAAATACCAGTTTTAGGATTGCATTTCTCAGCTGCCTGTTTGTTGTGTGTCTGTTTGAGCCACTGCCTACATCCATTGTTTTACAGCCCAGGGATTTGTCAATGAGCTTCTGTGTGATTCACACAGAGAGCGTCTGTCTGCTCTCCATTCATTTACTCTCATTTTCAATTCTCTCCCTTTTCTTTCCCTTCTTTTTTTTTTTAACTGGCATAGCCTATGAATATCCTGCCATCTCTGTTAAATAATGTAAAAATAGCTTCGCAGCTGTTATCTGCTCCACTCTTTATGGTTGCTGTAATATGTTTCGAAGAGATACGCATAAGCATTCTTTAACAGGGAGACGGCTCATGATAAAATGCTCACTTGCAAACTTTTAAGTGTCACTTCACTGCATCTGATGTACAACGATTGTCTGAAAGAGGAGTTTATAGAGTAGTTGGTGGGATGACACAGCGTCCACCTCTGTACTGGAAACAAGAACTAGCTCATTTCTGCACCTTTATGGATATTTTTGTGTGATATTTAATGTGTCTGTGATATCAGACAAAAATACTAACACACACAGAGTCGAAGAATTCTCATTCACTTTTGTTCCTCTACGTTCCCTCTTTTTCATTTCCAGTTTGTCGGGGTTGAGGGTTTGATAACGGGAATCATGGACATGCTGCCCCCAAAATCTGCCCTGGGCTCGCTTCGGCGAGAGGTAGTAGCTGCCATCTGCTGCATCATCTGCTTCCTCATTGACATGTCCATGGTTACTGAGGTAAAGTCAAATTTTTGACTAAATGTCATTTAGTTGTATTCTTCAGAATTAGGTATTTTTCTAGTTAGCTATTTGTAGATTACTAATTATTCTAATTAGGTAGATTTAATTTCTTACCAGTCTTGTAGTAAAGATAAGTGTCCTTTATGGAGCTTCTCAACATTTGCATCATAACCTCCTTTTACTAATAATAAAATGTGCTTGTTGGAACTTGTAATTGGAACTGTAAACCACTCTTAGAAACCAACTGCTCACATATTGGCCCTTTTAGCCTTGTACCACTGCTGTGCTCCTAAATTTGTTAGAGTGAATGCATTCTGTCATTCAGACGTAGCTTTCACTTTAGATTTGTGGAAAGATTAACGGAAGGAACTGCATGTCTGAAATGGGTTATGAATTATTAAAAGGATGGTTCTGATGGTCTTCTGCTCTCACCGTTTCTATCAGGGAGGGATGTATGTCTTCCAGCTGTTTGACTACTACTCTGCCAGTGGCATCACATTGTTGTGGCAGGCCTTCTGGGAGTGTGTGGTGGTTGCATGGGTGTATGGTGAGACAGCGCTGCACAAACACAGCACAAATTATACAAACTGCACTGTCCAGGGCATTCTCACAACATCCTTACATTACCCTGTCAGGCGCAGACCGTTTCATGGACGATGTGGCTCGTATGATCGGCTATCAGCCCCTACCCTATATGAAGTGGTGTTGGTCCTACATCACACCTTTTGTCTGTGTGGTACGTGCTACTTCATTTTTTTTTAAGTAAACTGTATCTGCAAGTGGAAAACTAGTAATATCTTGGCATTCATATAGGGAGTGTTCCTGTTCCATGTGGTTAACTACAAGCCCCTGACCTACAACACAGTGTACACATACCCCATCTGGGGTGAAGCACTTGGCTGGGCGCTGGCCCTATCCTCCATGCTCTGTATCCCTGTCACTGTTCTCTACAAACTACTGCGCTGCAAAGGATCTTTGCGGGAGGTCAGTGTTCATGGGTGCTGGCATGTCTGTTCACTTGCATTCTCCTGTTTCTGTTTACTTTTGATCAGTAGGAATGCGTCTCCTTGGATGTTGCCATCACTCATCTATGAGTTATTTGTTCAACTGATTTCCTCATTAATCATTAAAGAGGACTTATTGCAGAAAACTAAATTGTCCGTCCCGTCCCAAAAAAACCATCTCATTGTGTTTTTACTCTGTAGCGCTGGCAGCACCTAACCACACCAGTTTGGGGCAGACATCACTTGGAGTACCTGGCCCCTGAGAGTGAGGCCAAACTGCTGCCCCCTGCAGGAACCAAGGGGACGCTGCTCTTTGAGAGTGTCATCTGATGAGTTGAGCTCCACAGAACAAAAGGGTCATCTTTGACAGCAGCAGACACGTACATACGCGAACAAACTTACAGATTAATTACACACCCTTCCACTTTAAAACTGTAAGAAAGACCTGGACAATGGACCAAAGATTAGATTGGAGAAAAACAACCATGTATTCATCACATGCTGATATACCCTCTGCTCTGTTTTCTGACTCTACCTCGCTGGCTTGCCCCTCTCTTTCTGTCCCACTCCTGCGTTTGTGCTGTTCTGTCCTGTATTGCTTTGTCTGTGTGATGTAGTTTGTAGTTTGCAATATCTTCCCTTTCCACGCCTTCCTGTCCACGTTTTAACAGCCTCACTCAACCCAAGCAGTCATGCCATCTTCAATGAGCATAAACTTAAAAGAGTCTGATGAGTTGTTTTAAAATTAAAGACCTCATATCTGCTGCTGATAATGCCACGGTCTGAATGCTTATGTGTGTAGATGCACGTATGCCTGTGCCCTTGTGTTTATAACCCATGTCCCGTGCGTGTGTGCGTGTCTGTGTGAACGGGTGTTGCGTTAGACCGTGGGCCACGGTCTGTGGCGATGGTATTTTCCATTTATATGTAACATTGCCTTCAGCCATTGTTTCCTGCCAACTGTTCTCTGTGAATTAACTGTACAAAAAAACAACTTCCATTAGTTAAAAACTAAAATTATCATGACAAGCAATGCACCACCAATTCCAGCTATGTATTATAAACTAACTTAAGTATCCAGTGTGTTGTACGGTCTGTGAATCAGTGTTAATATTTGGAGGGGATGATGATTATTATTTCCATGTGAAGAGAAGGAGAGAAACCTCTGGGTGAGCTGTTTAAAGAGCAGGAGGCTGGGATGACAGAGAATTGCTGTGACGCCTGATGAGATGCAATAAATGGCCAGATAAAGATGGATGTAATGTGTTTTTATGGGTCTTTATTTACATTCTCATTCATTTTTATTCAAATAAGATATGTACAGAAAGTACAGAAAAACAAAAACAAACTCCATAGATGTTCAACAACTGAATGTCTTCAACATTTTAACCTTTGTGTTGTCCTTGGGACATTTTGTCCCTGTGGACCACAGGTGTATGGAAATCGGGACGATTGTTTAGTATGTAAAAGATGGATGAAGTCACTGTGATGTCATTCAGTGGTCTTTGGACTGTTTGTTTTATGGAGATAAATGTTTAACCTCAGTTTGCTGCTCCGTTTGGTCTCATTTCATTAACCCTCATAATGTCCTCCCGATTTCCATACACCTGTGGTCCTCAGGGACCACCGTTAGTTAACATCCAGGTAGTTAAAAAAATAGCTTAGACCTTTATCAGTGTTCCTGCAGGCTCATCATTTATTTTGTTAGCATCTCATTAATTAAGAGTCATAAACATGTCTATTATACAGTTTACACATAAATACACATTGTACGCTGTCTAAACATTTGTGCACTATCAAATACAGTTCCTACATTTTTGAAAGCTAAAAAGTAAAAGATGAGGGAAAAAAGCAGGCAGTTATCAGCACACAGACAGCAAATCATATTCTCATTTAGCTTCTAAACAGGCGCACTGTTTAGCTTCTGATATGAGCAATAGCAGATGACACGCAGCCCAAAAATAGAAGGGAGCTCAAGATGTCAGAGCAACCACACATGTAAATAATGACTGTAAATAGACACACATTTTGTTACTCTAAAATGTAACAGCTATTACACAATGCATGCCATTCAGCTCATTACTGCGGGCTTTGGGAAGGGGTACTGTAAGAATTAAGGCTTTGTGGGGGGGGGGTGCACAGCTAAACAGTAACACTGTTCAGATTTTATTGGTTATGCGTTGGAGACTTTTGGCTTTTGTTGTCTTTAAAAAAATATCAACTGGTAGATGCACGCCTCTCACATATGAGTGTCCCTCTGGGGTCAACCTTTCTTTCTAACACTCTGCTCTCTCACACTGGCTATAAATACAGACTCCTATTAGTCCACTGTTACATTCTCCCACTAAAGCCCCGCCCCTTCCCTGTCCCTTGCATGCAACACAGTGTGAGAGAGCTGCAGTGACGTCTTGCTGTATATCTCATTAGAGGATATCATAAAAAGCCTGTTGCCACAGCAACCGCTCCCTATGTTTCCATAGCAACCGGGCGCCATGTCAAGGTGGTTCATTCTCCCTTTACTGAAAGGGGAGGAGACGATGGTGAGTGATGAAACAGAAAGCAGCCTGAAAAGAGGAGGAGGAAGAGGGCTAAATTTGAGTGAATCTGACCCCTGCTGGTCACATCTGGGTGTTGCGGGACACATCCTGAAAGAAATTGGAAGATCCAGAGCTCAATGTGTGAAAATATCTCAAAGAATGTATTTCTTCAATGGCAAGTGATAAATAAACAGAGAAGTCAAAAGTGTGATAAGTATTGATGGTGACCCACAAGCACAAAATAAGCCTTCCACTGTTTTTTGCGAATATAAAGCACTGCATCGTGGACGGTGATAAACAGCCGGCTCTTTGGGATGGAGGCTGAGAAGAAATCCGCTGCTTCCAGCTGTTCCACGACACAAGCTGTTTTACCACACATAAATGGAGAGAAATATGCATGACAATGAGAGAGCATATTGTAGTCATCTAAATAAATATTCATGTGTCATTGTCATCTGACAGGGCGTAGCAGGGCTCCACCGAGGCTATGACCTTGTCGCATTCATTATGTTAAGCTTCAGTGCCTTAATTCAGCATTAAGGAGAACCCTCTGTCTCTGTTTTTGTCCGATGTGTCCTTTACCTTGGCAGCCTGCTAAGTAGATGTCCAAATCAACTTCTCCAAAGTCCCTGAAAATCTGGGAGAAAAGGACAAATCTCACGTTAGTTCTCTCTTTGTCATCCGTTAGAAAAATGATAACATTTCAGCAGGCACACACATACATTTTTCAGTGTCTTCACAGTGACTGTGTCCACAAAGCTGGTTGTGGAAATGTCCAAGATGATGCTGTGCGTGCCCGATTTGCAGGCCCGTTTTTTCTCTTCATCGCCGTGCCGAGAAAACTCTGTGATGTGGTCAGAACCTGTGGCTGAGTCTGAATCTGACATGGTTATGTCAGGTTCATAAGCCAAGTTCATTTGGCCTTTATGAAGGCCATCTGTAGCTGTTTCTGTCATGCTAAAGTCCACACTATTCCCGTTTCTCTCTCCTTTTGTTCTTTCAGAGACAGTTTCTATGTTCATCTGGGACTCCTTTAAAGAGAATGTGCAACTTAGTGACTAAAGATTCTGACTTACTGATATATTTTGGAAGAATTAGCAAAACCTTAATTTCAGATCTCATACTTGTTTTTTTGCCTCCTTCTTGGTTTTCTTTTTCTCTTTCTCTTGTCTACGCTTCTGCTTTGCATCTCGTTTCTTCTTTGCTGATAGCAGCTTCCCAATCTCGATTCCAGTCTGCAACAAGAGCCAAGCATCACATTAAAACAGAAAGAGGAGAGAAAGTGAGAAGAGTGAGAGAGATAGTGAAAGCAATTGAGGGTGCTGTAGAAAGCAGAGGCAGATTTCACACATACGCACACAGAGCACAGATTATTGAACACGCAACCACATACCTTCTCCTGCAGGACCTCCAAGAACATCTCGGCATTTGTGTAGTAGATAGTTGCAGATGAACGGAAGATTTTAATTCCAGGAATCTCTTTTGCCTGCATGAAATCACACATTAGAAGGTTTAAGAAACTCACACCCTGCTCTTATTTCATTTGCAGTTTCTGCTTTCCTCAGATGTTGTTTGACTAAACGGAGCTCCTCTACCACTTAATGATTGTAAGTAGATGTAGCCTTACTCACAGTGCCCCACTACCAGGGTAAATCAAAACAAATTAGCATCTAGAGAAGGTAGTTGCACGCTTGCCACCTTACTGCAATCGGTGTAAATGGAAAGGGAACAACCTAATTTCTAAAGTCTGCAATTCTGTGAAGCTGTGATTACAGCTCCAGGAGGAAGACATTTAGGAAAAAAATCTGAATGTTTAAACAAACATGCCAAGGTTTACTCTTGTTTTTTTGTCTAGGAAACCCTTTAATACAGAAGTGCTTAACAAACATGTTTGACCACCTGTCATAAAAACAAGAAAATTAAAATATTTTAAAATTTGCCAAAAGCTTGTTTGACACTAAAAGTTAACCAAGCACAACATTCAAAACTAACATGTCAAAGGATGCAACTAAGTAGCTGCAATTTGGCATGCTAATAAAAAAATAATGCGCTGGACTATTTTTGCTGCTTTTTTGGTTAAACAGTCAATTTGAAAAATCATGGATAGTTTGGTCCCGCCTTCACTGTTGTGATTGGTGTGGGGGTAGGGACAGGCTTAGGGCATCGGGGGGTTCCCCGGAGGCATTTTCCTTGGGGGGCTCAACCCGGGGTAGCGGTCATGTCCGGTTAGGGGCTCTGTTGGCTCTCAGGTGACGCGGCTGCGTGCAGCGGGACTAGGGGAGGGTCTGTGCTGACGGACGTGGGTTACTGACCTGGTAGCCTGGTTGCCCCTGGGTGGGTCCGGGATGGGCGTGAGGTTCTGGGGCGCCGTCTCTGGCGGGCCGGGCCTCGCGGGCTTGGGTCCTGGTTGGTGTGTTGCCGGGGTTGTGGGCGGGTGGGTGCATGGGGGCCCAGCCCTGGAGCAGGGTGCCGCCGGTGCATCGAGCCACCTGGGGGGCTCTTCAACTGGTGGGGAAGATTGTCACATCTTGCAGGAGCTTTCCTCTCCTCAGGGGCTCTCTCTACAGGAGGGGGAGATACAGGAGAGGTGGAGGAAGATCTCAGCCTGGGTGTTTATTGTCTTATGTAGTCTGGAAGAAGAGTGGATGGTGGGGTGGGTGCAGTTTTCTCTGTGGTGGGGTTGGGTGGACTGTCCTGGGCTCTGTGGGGCTGGGGGGCGCTGCTGCGCTGGGCCCCGGTCTGGATGGGCATGGGCCCCCTTTCCCTGGTGGGTCGCGGAGTATGGGGGTGCCTACTGGGGTCAGCGGGGGAGCTGGCCCCAGGGAGGGGTCACTTGCCCCTCCTTTCCTTCCCTCCCCATCTCCAGCTGCCTCCCTCTTCCCGCTCCACCACAACCACCCACACATGCAGGACCTTGGAGTAGGGGTATGTCACCAGGGTGCAGAGGAGGCCACCCCGTCCCCTTCTGGCTGCCTCTGCCTCAATTTTATTCCACAACTTAGACATTCACATTACTCACACTCTCATTACACATACATATAGGATCTTGGGGGTGGGCACGATACACGGAATCCAAAGTACCATCAGGGTGTACACCCCACCCCTGGCGTCGTTGCCCACCTCTCAATGTTAAATACACGTAGACATTGAGGGCCAGCAGGAGGGACCATGCGCTTACCTGCTGCTCTCTGGCAGGTAGCTCCATGCCCTCCTGGGTTTTAATTGCACCTTAGAACACACATGCATCAACACTACAATGAGCGGGTGGAGGGAGGTTTGGAGTCTTCTCTCACCCCCATTCTCTGCGACCTGCTGAAGCGGGGGGGCTAGGAGGAGGAGTTGGCCGTCCGACTGCGGTCTGGAGTGTGGGGCCTCCCTGCTGCTGCGGAGTCGGGGCGGTCTGCCTCCCCCCACCGCAGGGAAAAGGGTAACACCACCTGGGTCTGGGTGCAGTTCCCCCCCTCCAGGGGCAAGGGTACCTAGACCCGGGGCTTAGAGTACGCTTGGGGAGTGTGATCATGTGTACAGCGTCTCTTTATGTCTGTCTCCACGTTGGTTGAGTGTGGAGTAAGTGTATATGAGAGCATGAGGGTGGGAATGGATGTTTGTATCTGTGTGTGCCTGTATGTCTGTGTCTATATGTCAGGTTGGGTGTCAGGCGCCACCTCTCTGGGGACATCTCAGGCCCTCCAAGGTTTGGAGGCCTATCTCCCCCCACCACCACTTCCCCTGCCAGTGGCGGACTCCCTCAGACATCGGTGCGTTGGTGGTTCTTTGTGTCCGGGGATGGGCGTCCAGGTACACACCGGCTCACTCCTTGGCGGCCGCTTATCGGGGCCTGGAGCCTGGGGCTTGCTCGGGCCACTTCGGAGGTGGGGTGCCCCCGGCCTCTCGGCCTGGGGCTCGGTCACTCAGGCACAGCTGGCTGCCGGCGGAGCTCACGGGCGCGTCACTGCAACTCCCCCTGACTTCTGCTCCGCGGCTGCTGAGTGAGCCCTCATCTGGGACTCTCCTCAGCTCTTTCTGGGACAGTGGCGCAGCTGCCCCTCTGTTGGTCTTCCTTGGTCTCTTGTGTTCTGGGGGCCTCTGGATGTCTGGAGTTTTGATCTCCTCCATACCTGCTTCATGCCCTGGAGGACGGGGCTGTGGCCCCCCCACACCCTCTAGCAGATCATTACATGAAGGAACCTTTTAAAAACAAGCGCGTCCATGCTCACAGGTGTACACACGGGTGATCACACCCACAAACTACACCCTTTTTGGCTCCTACCTCAAAGCACACTGTGTTCTGTTGATCTTATGTGCTGCACAATAATGTTTAATATTTAGTATTTACTGTCATATTCCCATATATCATTGTGATGTTGTTTATTCTATTACTCTTGTTCTCTTCTCCTTGTTTTCTTTTTTCTTTCTCAGCAGGTGACCCAGGTGATTGATATATGCATTTTTTTTTCTTTTTTTCTTCTTTTTTTTTTCTGCTCATTCTGTTGGTTTTTGGTTTTTGCCCTTCTCCCCCGTCCCTCTTCTCAGCTGTTTCTCTTTCCCTCTTTCTTTCTCCCCTTCTTTCCCCCAGTCAAGTCTGTCCCATATTCAGTAAGTGAAAATAAAATAAACAATAAAAGGTGAATCAAATGGACCATTATGGCAAGGCTGGGATGGTCAATTTGGTAAAGTAAATCCGTTGGCCATCTTTCTTTGCCTTTAGACAACAATTCTGATGGCAAAAGAGCCAAACGGGACAGGCAAAAAAAAAAGAAAAAAAAGAAAAAAAAAAAAGAAAAATCATGGATAACAACAATAATTATATTTAAGCATTAAAAATATGTTTTTGATTGAACAGCTTGGATTACAGAAACGTAACGACAGATTCTAGCCCCACTATTACTTTAAGGCATAAACACTGAGTGGTGGTCCAACAAACTTGTTGAGCACTCTGTTTCACACGTTCATGCGTCAGTCTAGTGGTGTCTTTCATTTCAACTAGTAGCCTTTCAGTCGCTTCCTTAAAGCTGATATTAGTTTAACTAGTGGAGAAGTGGAGAATTCTAAAACTCAGATTTTTAAAAATCTACCACTATATGCATGGTTAATTTCCTCAAGTAATATATTTATTGTTGTTATTAGAATTTGGGCCAGCTTAAACTTTATTTTATATTTAATTTACCTCCTTGTAGGTGTCTGTGTCCAGATAAAGTTCAGTGCCTGGTAAGTTGCCCAAGATTGAGTAACGTGGTCTGAAAGGCATTAAAAATGTCAAAATTACACCAACAATTTCCCTGCATCTCATTTAAGTACCTCATCGTGATTGCATAGACATTACTAATTAATAATTAGAGTTGTGTAGTTACAGTTGTGTTCTGAAGATGAAAGTAAGCATGGAAAACGCAACGGAGACAGCCAGGCCCAGGTCCAAGTTGAGCACGATGGTGCTTATGAATGTTACAAGCCACACCAGCTAGAGGGCGGTATGAACACGAAACGTTAACAAGGTCCACGGTGCCACAAAGGTCACACAGTATTCAGCTGAGCAGAGTGCCTGCTAAAGAGGATTAAGTCTTACCAAGTCAACCTTGTTGGTCTTCCACAGCAAAGAGACATCCATAAACTGCTTAAACATTCCTTTCAAGTTCACAAACACGATTGTGGATAAGACGGCCTGAGGAGCAAACACAGACACTAATGAAATCACGCATACCCATAACCTCACCGGCTCAGAAACTGCCAGGAGGGATGGCGATCATTAGCAAGAAATGGCTCAGGAAGGAGAGTGTTACCTTGGGGAGATCTTCAAAGAGAGGACCTATTTTCAAAACTGTGATCAGCACAATGATGGAGGAAATCACCCCCGCAACCTTCCAAACACACACACACACACACACACACACACACACACACACACACACACACACACACACACACACACAATAAATGGTCTCAAGATGACCATAAAAATCAGGTGTAATTTGTTGTAAATGTCTGTGCAAATGATTCAGCCAGTCCAGAAGTTTTCCTTCTTACCCTTCAATGTAAGATCATCATGAAGGCAGATGACCCTCAATCCATGACCCGAGGGTCTCTAATGACTTACCTGCCATACGTCTGTGTGTGTTAACAGTTTAAATGGATGTGTTTAAAATCTTATGTTTGTCACATCAAATACTGATTTTTTTTCCTGTATATTTGAAGATTAATTTATTAAAAAACTGTTCTTCCTCATCCTTTTTTCTTATTTTAGTGCCTGAATTGTTTGCACAGTTGCAGTTTGTGCTGTTCGATCACAGAAGTAGTTGTTTTTACTTGTGTCTTGCCCCCTGTGCTCTCCTGGACAAGACTCCGTGACAACGAGGAAGTTACAGAGTAACAATGAAAAAATCCACCAATAGTGTTACTGAGACCCAACGCGACGAGCTCCTGGAAAGACAAAAGGCAGACAAGACGCAACACTTTGGTTAATGGTATTGATGTGACTTCAGGTCAGCACAACTTTTGGGTCAATGACATCAGTGCACTCCTTATTAATTTTTTTGACCAGGCCAGCACGTCACTGCCACGCTGAGAGACGTGGTCGCAGTAGTTAAGATTCCTGATTGCAAAAAAGCGTGTTGGGCGTTAATTTTTTAGCAGTCTCGCCCTTAGAGCATTTGACTGTTCACACATTGCCTCTGATCCCAGTTAAATAGCTCTGCACGTGTGTCAAAGTGTGCAAACAACAGAATGATTTTTAATCAGTGATGGGAATAACGGCGTTACAAGTAACGGCGTTACTTTTTTCAGTAACGAGTAATCTAACTAATTACTATTCCTATCGTTACAACGCCGTTACAGTTACTAACAAGAAAAATAGTCCGTTACTATTTTTCAACAAACAGACGGTTGAAGCTGTGTTCAGCTTACCGCATCTTATATCAGTTGCATGGAAGTAGCTGACTACGTAAGTAATGTGGACGCTACAGCTTTAAGCAGCTGCGCGCTCTGCAACAGGGCTCACTTAACACCCAAAGAGCCATTTGGACCCGGGTTCCACGCAAAAGAAAACACTTTTTGACATCTAAAATGAAGATAATACTGTATATATTGTTTTTTACATTTATGCTTTGTGTGAACAACTAAGGTGTGTTCCTTATGAAATCCATGAAGTGCTACAGAGAAAATTACATTTTATTTATGTAATTAACACATTTTGAACTCTTAAAGAAATATAACAAAAGGAAAGACACCCAGCTGAACTAAAATGATCCAGCAAACAAAAACTGTTGTGAGCCGCCACCCTTATATCGCCTTTGGGATTTTGGAGCCTTGAACTGACTTTTAAAAAATAATTGGAAAAAAAGCTCTATGCTGCTAAAAGATGAAAAATAGATATTTGCAAAATTCTGCCTAAATATGTATTTTACCTGCTTAATGTGTGTGGCAGGGCGTGGTCTGCAGCGCCGTTGCAGGGGAGGAAGACGCACCTGAGCACCCGCAGTCACGACTCGCCGCCTTTATGTCTGCGCTCTCTCTGCTGTTGTGTTGGTGTGTGTTGGGCTGTGAGCTGCAAAGCTGCAGTCGGCTGTATGCGTACAGCAACCGTGTGTGAAAAGTGGTCAATAAAGAGATGCTGAAAAGCGTGTTCATACAAACATCGTCGGGTCTGCCGTGATATGTTTACAATGGGACTTCTGCTCCTGAACCTCTGCGCACAGCGTCTGCAGGTCGGGGCTGTACGAAGTCACTTTCATCTTTACGCAGGACTGTAAGCTGTCATCTGTGAGGCGTGAGCGATGTTTGTTTTTAACATAGTTCACGGTGGAGAATAGCTGCTGACATAATGTGGATCCGAAGAGCCATATTTGGGCTACCTGGGGTTAAAAATCTCGATAAATGCACGACGTTTCGGCGGGTATACCGGCTTCCGCCAGTGTGACGCTTATTTTGAGCGATGAAAAAATAATAGAATATAATTTTATTTTTATATTTCAATATCACAATAATCTTCCAATTTAGAACTACAAGTTAAAAAAGAACTAACATAAATAAAATACACTTCAGCCAAAAAAAATTTATTTTCCCAAACCACGCGGAGCCGCACTATAAGGACTAAAGAGCCGCATGCGGCTCCGGAGCCGCAGGTTGCCGACCCCTGGTCTAGCACGAGACCTGGAGCTCAGGGGGCAAAACAATCGCATGAGTGCTGCTGTTTGACTGAGGAAGAAAAAAGTAGTTGTGGTAAGCCTTACATGACCACTTAAAGACAAAGCAACAAGGTGACATATACCAGTTTATAAATTGTGTTGATAGGCCACGTAAAACCAGAGTCATGATTAACAATATATACGCCTGTTTTTTCCTCAATAGTTTCGTCACGTTTACTGTCTAAGGACAGCGCAGAGCACTCTCTGCCTATGACCCCCCCCCCCCCCCCCCAAAAAAAAAATAAAATAAAAAAGGGGAAGTTTTAGGAGAGAGAGAGAGAAAGACAGCAGAAAAAGAGAGAGAGAGAGTGAGTTTTGAGACGTGAGAGATTTGTGACGTTTAGCGTGTTTGCAGTGTGTAGTTAATGTGTTGTCTTGTGTAGTTAGTGTGTAGTGTTGTGGATAGTTTTGTGTTGTGTGTCAGAACAATGAGGCGACTGCTGTCTCCTAGAAACAGGAGTGATACACCTGCTGCTGTCAGACCTGCAGGTATCAGGCTGTGATGTTTCCTTTATAGTGGACAGAAATGATGTTTTTGGAGAGGCACAAATAATTTGTGTGGCATCTTATTGAAGAACAGCTGATTGTTCTGTAAATAGTTTGAAATGGTTATTTAAAACAAGGGTAAAAGGTAAATGGATGCAAATAACTTGTGCATATGATTTTAAAATTGACAATTTGTACTTGCATTTAAAGTTATGAAATATGATTCATTAACCCTCATAATATCCTCCCGATTTCCATACACCTGTGGTCCTCAGGGGTCAAAAATGTCCCCATTTCATTTGACTGTTTTTTAAAGTATAAAGTATAAATTGTCAATCAATTCAGTGTTACACCTGAGTTTTACTTAAGACCAACACATTAACCCAAAATTTACCCTACATTATACATTTTAGGGCCACCAGGCCTTGTTTACATAAAGTACACTCTGTTTTTGAGCGAAAATAAAACAAGACAATAAAATATTTAAATGTTCAGATTATTTTGACTATCTGACTAACTACAGAGTCCTGTATGTTGAACTTTAGTGAGAAAGTTAAAGCATAATACACTGTGTATAATGCTTTCAGTGCTCGAGTAGAAAAGCGACTGAAGGAGTATGGGACCTGGCATATGTGCTTGGACTGTGGTAGATTGTCTTTCTCTGTGGCACATGAGAGAGTCATGTATCGTCTGTCACTGGGAAGGATAGAAGACCAGATCAATGTTTCCTCACATCCATCCATCTATCCATCCATCCATCCATCCATCCATCTTCATCCGCTTTATCCGAGGCCGGGTCGCGGGGGCAGCAGCCTAAGCAAAGAGGCCCAGACCTCCCTCTCCCCAGCCACCTCCTCCAGCTTATCCGGGGGAACACCAAGGCATTCCCAGGCCAGCCGAGAGATATAATCTCTCCAGCGTGTCCTGGGTCTGCCCCGGGGCCTCCTCCCGGTGGGACATGCCTGGAACACCTCACCCAGGAGGCGCCCAGGGGGCATCCTTGTCAGATGCCCTGAACCACCTCAGCTGGCTCCTTTCGATGTGGAGCAGCAGCGGCTCTACTCTGAGCCCCTCCCGGATGGCCGAACTTCTCACCCTATCTCTAAGGGAGAGGCCAGCCACCCTTCGGAGGAAGCTCATTTCCGCCGCTTGTATCCGCGATCTCGTTCTTTCGGTCACTAACCACAGCTCGTGGCCATAGGTGAGGGTAGGGACGTAGATCGACCGGTAAATTGAGAGCTTCGCTTTTACACTCAGCTCCCTCTTCACCACGACGGACCAGTGCAGCATCCGCATCACTGCAGCCGCCGCACCAATCCATCTGTCGATCTCCGGCTCCCTTCTCCCAAACTCACGAACAAGACCCCGAGATACTTGAACTCCTCCACTTGGGGCATGGAACTCATCCCCGACCACTCTTTTTCGGCTGAGAACCATGGCCTCAGATTTGGAGGTGCTGATCCTCATTCCCGCTGCTTCACACTCGGCTGCGAACTGTTCCAGTGCGAGCTGGAGGCCCTCACCCGATGAAGCCAACAGAACCACATCATCTGCAAAAATCAGAGATGAGATTCTGAGGCCACCAAAGCGAAAGCCCTCCGCCACTTGGCTGCGCCTAGAAATCCTGTCCATAAAAATTATGAACAGAACCGGAGACAAAGGGCAGCCCTGGTGGAGCCCATCACCCACCGGGACGAGTCCGACTTATTGCCGGCAATGCGAACCAAGCTCTTGCAACGGTTGTATAGGGATCGAATGGCCCGTAGCAATGGGCCAGACACCCCATACTCCCGCAACACCTCCCACAGGACACCCCGAGGGTCACGGTCGAATGCCTTCTCCAAGTCCACAAAACACATGTATACTGGTTGGGCAAACTCCCATGCACCCTCAAGTATCCTGGAGAGGATAAAGAGCTGGTCCAGTGTTCCGCGACCAGGACGAAAACCGCATTGTTCCTCCTGTATCCGAGGTTCGACTAGCGGACGAACTCTCCTTTCCAGCACCCTGGCATAGACTTTCCCAGGGAGGCTGAGGAGTGTGATCCCCCTGTAGTTGGAACACACCCTCCGGTCCCCCTTCTTAAAGATGGGGACCACCACCCCGGTCTGCCAGTCCACAGGTACTGCCCCTGATCTCCACGCAACATTGCAGAGACGTGTCAACCAGGACAGCCCTACAACGTCCAGAGCCTTCAGGAACTCGGGGCGGACCTCATCAACACCAGGGACTCTGCCACCAAGGAGTTGTTTAACTGCCTCAGTGACCTCGCCCCCGGAAATTGGCGGGTCATTCCCCTCATCCCCAGACTCTGCTTCCTCCTCGGAAGACGTGTCAGTGGGATTAAGGAGGTCCTCGAAGTATTCCTTCCACCGCCTGACAATTTTCTCAGTCGACGTCAGCAGCGCTCCACCAGCACTATACACAGTGCAGGTAGAGCACCGCTTTCCCCTCCTGAGACGCCTGACGGTTTGCCAGAATCTCTTCGAGGCAGTCCGAAAGTCTTTTTCCATGGCCTCTCCGAACTCCTCCCACACCCGAGTTTTTGCTTCAGCCACTGCCCGAGCCGCACTCCGCTTGGCCTGTCGATACCTGTCGGGTGCCTCCGGAGTCCCACAGGCTAACCAAGCCCGATAGGACTCCTTCTTCAGGTGGCTCCCTTCACCTCTGTTTCCTCACATTACTGCAAATATTCCTCTGTCTCAGCTGACTCATCTTTCTTGCTTGATTCTTTGTCTTCATCATAATTGAAATGGATGATGTGTAGTCCTCTGACCTCTTCTATTTCAGTTTCACATTCTGAAAATTCAAGAAACTTCAAGAAGCCCAGTCACTTTCTTTCCAAGCTCCTCAGACTACCATGTCCTGGATGCCTGAGAACCTACTTGAACATAGTTCAGATTCTTCATCACTTTTCTTCACATAGCCTTCTTCCACTTCTGCAGGTGGGTGATGTGCTTCTTCAGAGAAAGGGTAGCATGTGCTCTAAATATTGACAATATTTTCTTTATCTTCTAACCCTCGATCTTCCTGATCATTGATTCTTCCTCCTCATTATACTAGAGGACAATGTGCTTTGTTCTACTGCTCATTACTTTGCACAACATGGTAAAAAAAAGTATGCTCACAAGCCTCCAGTGCAATGGAGGCCTGTGAGCATACTTTCCGTGTATGTATTATTGTAGGGTCTACCTTACAATATGAAGCACCTTGATGCGACTGTTGTTGTGATTTGGTGCTGTGTAAATAAAATTTAATTGAATATAGAACACCTGCCAATTATACCCTGAACCCCAGAGGGTTAAACATTTTTTTAAAGTAACGCAATAGTTACTTTTCAAGTAATTGATTACTTTTAGAATATTGTAACTCAGTTACTAACTCAGTTACTTTTTTGAAGAAGCAACTAGTTACTATAAATCGTTACTTTTTAAAAGTAACTTGCCCAACACTGTTTTTAATACACCTCTATGTTTGTTTTGGCATTTAAAAAACAAAACATCCAGGTTCTTTTTTTTTTGCATGCATCTAATTTAACCAAACATTAATCATTTCTCTAATGAACTGATTACAAAACCTGATTTACCAGCAAATTATAAACAGTGCAGTTCAGTTCCAGGACATGAGTTTGCATGGGGAATTATTAATCAGGTTACAAAGAACAAGCAAAAAATCGAAAGTGATGCTTCTGTACTGCTTGTAACTCATTTAATTTCTTCTTGTTTCACACAATGTATCTTTTTATTTTAACATTGAATCATGTAACTGACTGATTCAATTATAGTCTGTTATTATTATTTGGGTAATTCAGACACCTGTGACACTTTAAATAACTCTGGAGGGTGCTGAAGAAATAAGAGAAAGCCATTTCCCAAAATTGCACTACTAGTTAGAACTAAGTGAATAAATAAAAATGCACTGCATGAATAGCGTAATCTCTCTCTTTGAAGCTTTAGAAAAAACAATAAGAGTTAATGAAACAATGTAGACAAGTATTTTTGTTGCAGCTCACACTGTCTGAGACTACAATCTAAGCATAAGATCTAAGAATATAATGCTTTGGTTATTTATTCTAATGCAGGGATGTCAAAAATCGTTTGACATCTGGGGCCAAATCCAGCACAGTTTGATCCTAAATGGGCCAAACTAATAAAACTCCCCTTTCTGCCAGTGTAGCAGATACAGAAATTGCAGGAACTTTTCCTTTATTTAATTGGTTATTTGTTTATTAATTACTTTGATGTAGTATGAATAGCCATAGGGAAGTTGGTAAAAAAAGAAAAAAAAAGAAAATACATTTAAAAGACATTTACATTTTAAAATTTATGCCCTGCATTATATTTGGTAAAGCTGTCCAGCGGGTCAAATTGGAGTCTTTGACAGACTGAATCTGGCCCCGGGGCCTTATGTTTGACACTACTTTTCTAAAGCATTAGCTGAAGTAAATTTATTTCAATGAACTAAGCACCTGAAGCAAAATGAACAGAAACCTATGCAGCTGGGCCAAAGCTTGATCAGTGACAACCTGAGTGATTGTTTCCACTAATGTGGCAGGAATAGCAGACTACAGAGTAAAGTCTAATTTTAGGCCAAAGTTGTACTCCTCCTTGTTATGAGAGAGTCAGAGGACTGCTTGTACTGTTTGTGCAGGCCACTGTGCGTGTATGCTTTCCTCACCTGGTTGCTGTCCACCTTGTAGCCATATTTGAGGCCAAATGTTTTGCTCAGAGAAATGTTGATGGCAAAGCCCACAATGGCCACAGCAAAAGCATCTCCTATAACGCCTGAGAAGAAAGTGGTATCTGGAGCACGAGGGGCCTTGAGCCTGGAGCAGAAGAAAAACGTGAGCTGTTTTATCAGCGACACACACAGGAATCTGTTTAATAATTTAGAAACACGTCAAATTAAATTTTATGAATCCCTCTTTAAAGGCCAGTAGCTGTTGTATACATGTATGACATTAATCTCCTATTATGGCTAGTGTTTACCCCACGCTGTTTTATGGCTTCCGTGGGGAAACCTGGATTTTTCCATAACAGGAGCCTTCAGGAGACACGCTGTTACACACACACTTCTTTGCAGATTGTGTGACAGTCTTATCAACAAATTCTGGATTTCTGGCAGAAATGAAAAGGGAGGAAATTTTGTGCCCTGGGTTTACTCCAGCACTTTATTTCCACACAAAGATGAGCTTACCCACTGGGAATTTCTCCAACCACGTCAATGTTGTATTTACTAGGAAGTTCACAGAAATGTGTAATGATTGTTGCTGCTATGACCTGTTGATTAAAAAAAACAATGTCACTCCAGTATCATTAGTTCTTTTTATATTTCTTTCTTGCAAACAGCCCCTTTCGTGTGCAACTATAGCGTTCCCTGGGTCTAGTGTGATCATTGGTGTCAAGACGCTCCCTGCTGGGTGCATAAATCAATACACCTGCTGTTTTACTGGCAGAGAAAGGATGAAAGAAAAACTAAAAGGAAGACTTACAACTACGAGCTCTATTGGAATAGGCAACGGCAGCTTCTGTCGGTAGCAGTCATTGATTTCTTTGACCACAATGAGAACAGCGAGTGCCACCAGGCTAACCACCAGCTCTGGCACCTGAGTCTGCGGCAGCAGGCTGCAAATGTCCAACACAGTCTGTGAAAAGAAGAAAAACAAACAAGTAAGGCAATACAAACAATGATAGTACAAGAGGACTGGAAATTCGGCTAGTACTTAAAGTCAGCAGAAATCTCCAGCAGTGAGGAATACATGTCATCAAAATGCAGCTTCCACTTAAACCCAGCCATCTTTGTGTCTGAAGCAAGTTAATTTAAAGCAAACTTGTGCCTGTCTAATTCAATTCAATTTTATTCATATAGCGCCAAATCACAACAAAAGTCGCCTCAAGGCGCTTCATAGATACAGAGAAAAACCCAACAATCATATGAACCCCTATGAGCAAGCACTTTGGCGACAGTGGGAAGGAAAAACTCCCTTTTAACAGGAAGAAACCTCCGGCAGAACCAGGCTCAGGGAGGGGCGGCCATCTGCTGCGACCGGTTGGGGTGAGAGAAGGAAGACAGGATAAAAGACATGCTGTGGAAGAGAGACAGAGGTTAATAACAGATATGATTCAATGCAGAGAGGTCTGTTAACACATAGTGAGTGAGAAAGGTGACTGGAAAGGAAAAACTCAATGCATCATGGGAATCCCCCGGCAGCCTACGTCTATTGCAGCATAACTAAGGGAGGATTCAGGGTCACCTGGTCCAGCCCTAACTATATGCTTTAGCAAAAAGGAAAGTTTGAAGCCTAATCTTAAAAGTAGAGATAGTGTCTGTCTCCTGAATCCAAACTGGAAGCTGGTTCCACAGAAGAGGGGCCTGAAAACTGAAGGCTCTGCCTCCCATTCTACTTTTAAATACTCTTGGAACAACAAGTAGGCCTGCAGAGCGAGAGCGAAGTGCTCTAATAGGGTGATATGGTACTACAAGGTCATTAAGATAAGATGGGGCCTGATTATTTAAGACCTTGTATGTGAGGAGCAGGATTTTGAATTCTGGATTTAACAGGAAGCCAAAACAGGAGAAATATGCTCTCTCTTTCTAGTCCCTGTCAGGACTCTTGCTGCAGCATTTTGGATCAGCTGAAGGCTTTTCAGGGAGTTTTTAGGACTTCCTGATAATAATGAATTACAGTCGTCCAGCCTGGAAGTAATAAATGCATGAACTAGTTTTTCAGCGTCACTCTGAGACAGGATATTTCTAATTTTAGAGATGTTGCGCAAATGGAAGAACGCAGTCTTACATATTTGTTTAATATGTGGGTTGAAGTACATGTCCTGGTCAAAAATGACTCCAGGGTTTCTCACAGTGTTACTGGAGGCATGTGTGTATTCTCTTAAACTGCTTGATCTGACTTCTTCAAAGTGTGTTTCCAAGTTCAATATTGTCTCATTACAGCAGGTAAAATTACAACTTCATCTAATCTGATATGTGTGTAATAACATCTAGCATGTAAGCTCCTGTAATTCCCTGCATAGCTCCAGTGAGATTAGCTTCAGCTACTGGAACCATACTGGTGACTGTAATTGGACTGGTATATTTCATGAAGCTCTTTTCTGGCATTACTGGCCAAGCAAAACTTTTACTCTAAAAGCCATGTTCTTATAGTATTTTATATCATGCACTTTGTTGCACTCAAGGACACAAACACACAAACTTTGTATTTATTTACAAAGGTAATAGGAATAACTCATCCATTTATGTAGGTGCAGGCATCATAAAACTGTTGTAATTAGTCCAGTGCAGTCATTAAAGAAAAGTTAATGATATAAATTTTTAACTTTGCAAAATTAATTTTTTAAATGTTTAATCGTAAAGGTCAAAGTAGCACAAAAAGTAAATAAATAGTGACAGCAATTTAAAATGTTAGTGTACTTAAGTGTGAATTGGATAGATAATGATTAACACACTCACATAAATGAGGGAGAGGGGGCCAGTGAAGCGAGACGGTGTGATTCCAAACAGGTACTTGAGCTGGGAGACACACACGTGGCATGCCGATCCTGTGGTGTAGCCACGAATGAGGGGCTCAGAGAGGTAGGTGACCACGAAGCCAAACCTCACCACACCCAACAGAATCTTAGGATGTAAAATGACAAAGTCAGTGAAGGAAAGGAGGTGAAATATGCCCTGAAAGGTTTGCTCATCACTTCACTAAAAGCTGTACGTCTGACACACAAAATAGACACACACCTGAAAGATTCCTGTCAAGACTGTGAGGGAACATGCCACCTGTACTCTGTAAGCATCGCGTTTATCGATGTCCACAGTTTCCGTCCCATTAGTGCCATTCACAATAAAGTTACTGTCAGGTGCCAGCCTTTCTGTCACACTCCCGACCATGATGCTGATCACAGCAAATGTACCTGAGCATACAAAATACAGCCATGTGGACACACAGATATTCATAGAGACATGGAAGAATCAGATTAGCAATGCTCCAAAAGGTTGATTCTGTTCATCTGGACGTAGCGTTTTCAGTGGGAGAAACGTTTCGACACTCATCCGAGTGACTTCTTCAGTCTCAGCTGACTGCAGGTTAGGGTTAGTTCATACAGATTTTACAGTAAATCTGTATGAAACTTGGCACAGAGGTACAGTAGGTGTCCCAGAGGAGGGATGTGTTGAAAGCTGGACATCAACTATTCAGGATGATTTTTAATGAATTTAGGAAATTGGCATAATTGTAGTGTATTGGCTGTATTGAATTGAATATAAATGTCATTTAATTTCTGAGGAATTTTACAGTAAATCTGGATTAAACTTGGCACAGAGGTACAGTAGGTGTCCCATTCGAAGCTTCCTTGGGATATCAGCCTTCCCTATTTCCTACTGTGGAAGGTCAGCACTCTGTACCCTCCGTCCAGGCTCATCTACGCAGGTGTCGACGGGTTTGGCGGGCCACTACGCACAAAGGAGAACAACAAACGCATCGCAGACCGGCACTGGACCCCAGCACCCGAATACTCTGCCGGTCAGAAGGTGTGGCTCTCTACCCGCTTTGTTCCCGTCAGGACCGAATTCAAAAAACTTACACCCAATTTCATCGGTCCTTTTGAGATCTCTGCCCTAGTCAACCCTGTCTCTGTGAAGCTGAAGCTCCCTCACAATATGAAAATCCATGATGTCTTCCATGTTTCACAAATCAAACTGTGGTCTGCGCCTGAGTCTGCCTCACTATCCATGACAGTTTCTCCCACTGAAAACGCTACGTCCAGATGAACAGAATCACTTTTTGGAGATTTACTTACCTGGATGATTGAGAATGCATCAAGACAGATTAGCAATGATGTTAAAGCTTTTTTGAATTAGGAAAACAGACATTTTCCACATCACTTACCTATAGAAATGTGTCTCGATGTACCGAAGATGAAGTAGACCAGCACTGGGAAGAGGGAGGTGTAAAGGCCATACACTGGTCGCAGGGAAGCCAGAAGAGCATATGCCATGCCTTTTTAAAGAAGATAGAACGCATATATGTCAGCTTAAAGTCCTTCAGACACATTTTGGTTGCTTAAAAGATTGATAGAAACATCCTTTTTCTGTTTACTGATTAGAGTGGGGTGGGAGAATTGATATCAGCCTGTGTCCTAATTATTGTCTTCAGATTTGGATAAAATTAAGGTAGCTGCTTCTATTACAAACATTTGTACTGAATTTGTGTGGCTAAAGAGTGAGCTCCCTCAAGTGCACAAATTCCCACATACAAACCCTGCGGCAGATGCATGATGCCGACACTGCAGCCAGAAATCAGGTCTCCTAAGGCATTTTCTCTGATGGAGTAACGAGGCAACCAGCTGAGAACAGGGACCCAGGTTAGAAGTATGTGTTTCAGCCTGGGCACCGAACATCTGCAACAGTCATTCCAGAAAGACACAATTTAAGTGCTGATATCGACTTTGTAGTTTGTAGTTTTAAGCTTAAATAAATAAAGAATATCTATGTACCTTTTTATATCTATTAGTCTGCTGAAGAGGGATATATACAAAAAGACTGACAATGTAACTTGTGAACTGTACCACCTGTTACATCTTTTATCAGCTGGGGCTGTAAAAGATTAAGTCACTGTGGCTTAGGGTAGAAATGTGATAAGCTTCCATGGAGTAATAACTAAGTATTTAACAAAAATAAATAAATAAAATAATTAATTGCCTTTCTCCTGCATGAATATTTGCCTTCTTTGTCCCAAAGAAATATGTAAGGTAATAAAGTAAGTCTCGACCTCCTCTGCCATGTTGACGCGTTAACAGTTATGAATTCATGTAATTGAACTGTCAATAATTGCTTTTGTGATTCATCAGTATCACTTTTATGGTCAGATATGATGTGCTGTATCACAAGTTGTTTTAAAGGTTAACCAGGGAAAATTTTCAAAAATGATGAACTTTGCTTTGAGATAACAAAACAGTTAACCAACCAGACAAGTCAAACCTCTATCTAAACATGCAAACTCATTCTCAGCTCTTTAGCTCACTTCATTAATATCTTTTAAATGTTGAGAAGTTCTAACCCTAACCCTTTGTCTTTGCGATAACTTCCCATGTCTTTTAAAAAAAATTACCTCAGGGGCTCTTTCACCTGATCACCCAGTGTCAGTTTAGTGGACCAGGTCTCTTTTTGAGCCACTTCATCCAGGCATAACTCATCCAGAACCTCCCTCTTCACAAAATACTCAACGGATTGCAAGTCCTTCTCCTCCATGTCCTTGTCTACTTGAGCAAATGTCCGAGACCTCTGTAAAGTTGGGTTTGTTTTGAGGGTCCTCTTGAGTGGTACGGACAGTTACAGGTGTCACCACTGTGTGAAGAGAACGAACCCCCCTCAGTGTTCTGTAATAATGCGTCTGTGGGAGTGACTGTTCCTTTTCCATCCTGGTAAGAGAAGATCCACCTCCCCGCATGTCCCTGACTGCACACTTGCACACACCTGATGTAATGTGTGTCTGTGTGAACATACATGTGTGTTGGCCTATGGCAAATAATTTGCTAAAAGTAACTTAAAAGGATGAATTGCAGAAACTGCAGAAAACTGCAACTGAAAAACAGAACACGTGTTGTATAATGTAACGAATGTGCATGAATACAGAGGTTTTTTGAAACACTTACTCAGTTTTATTTTAATTTTATTTTTCTTCCGTAAAGTGTATTTCCTCAGTGAGGGACAATAAGGGATATTTCTATTCTATTCTATTCTGAACCATTCTCTCATAATCTGCTTCTAAATCATCTATAAACACTTTCTAGAATAGAATAACCTTTTATTGTCATTGTACATTTAAAAATGTTTACTATCTTTATTGTTTATCTATTATCTTTATTGCTGTTGAGCTTCAGTAAAGAGATAAAATAACATCATTTTCATTGTCAGCAGAAAATCCATGCCAGATATTTCTTACGGTGTCTGATATGTTTCTTTGAACCTGGCAGACTAGTAAAAACAGGCAACACCCTCGTGGTCTAAATGTCACCAGCTAATCTTATGTATCCCAGCTGCCTGTTTACATATAAGGTAACTTTGTTACACATGCCATGTTTGAAAAATCAAAAAACAACATAGAAAGGTTTTATTTTTGTTAGAGATATTGAAAAGTCATCTGGGGGGGATGTCAAACCCTAAAAATTTGAGTCTGTACACATGATCTGTGTATGTCTGTCAGTACGGCCACTTAAATATAAAGAATTCTGGCCATTTAGCCTTGAACCATTTGGCCTTATAAAACAAACTCATCAATCACACCGCTGGCATCTATGCAATGTTTAATGTTGAGCTGGTTAACATTTAAAGGTTTTTGTCAAAATGACTTCAACTATTGATTGGGCTCTTCATACCTTGAACAGAAAAAGATAGATAACATAGTCAGTGATATAGCTGGGAGGGAATCATTGAACTAAATGAAGGATTTATATTTTGCCCACACTGAAAAAGGTATTTATATTTTGAAAAGCATAGTCTTTGTTACTTTTGGCAAATATGTTAATATTTACAAGAGAATTGTATCAATCTTTATCAATCCTTTTTTTAAATTTTTTTTCTTTTGCATCTAGGACGACATGTCAATGAACTGTACTTGGCAGAACACATAACTTTAGTCAGACATTGTTTATGATTTTGTGTTCTAACTGGTTCACATTTTAAATGCTGTCCTCAGACATTTATGTTTTTATGATGTTGTAAATGAGGATGACAGGTTGATGTACAAGACAAAACACCCATATCACTAGAAGATGAGCCCTTGAAGCCCAGCTTTTGTTCTGTTTTTGGTTCATTTTAGTCATGGATAAAGTGTAGCAGTTTGTCCCTCTGCTTCTCTGACTTTTTTTTCTGTTCTATACATTAAAAGAAAAAGTTTCGTTTCTGCACGTGCCAGTTTGAATTTTTTTCATGCTTGTATGAAACTATACATTTATTTTGTCATTTAAGCCTCTTCATGTTTTTGTGTGATCAAGTGACAGCTGACAAAGCAATCATTATAAGCAGATTGCTCCAAGGAGGGCATTATAATTATGAGCTTCATACATATATCAAAGAGTACAATTTAAGTGATAGAGAAAAATATTCATAAAATGAACCCATTGTTTTCTTATGATTGATGTGGCACTTTCTCTGTAGGTTTTTCAAATACTGGATCTCACCACACATCCCTTTGTTTGTATTAACGCTTGTTAACATGTAAACACTCTAACTGCAGGGATGGAAAGGTGAAGCCTTGTGTGTTTTCACTTAACACATATATACATTTTTGTGTTGACTTTTAAGGTTCTGCATGAAAAAGCTCTAGCATACATCAGTCAACTTTTACATGCATACTACTGCAGGTCGCAGAGGTCATGTGATCAGGGTCTGCTGGCTGTGCATCATACTAGGTTGAGAGCTAAAGGAGATGGAGCGTTTACAACAGTGGCCACCAGACTCGGGAACTCTCGCCCACTGAGCCTGAGATCTGCAGATTCAGGATTTCTTTTAAAAAGCAGCTCAGATGTCATTCTTTTAAACCAGTTTTTTGTTTTTATGTTTTTAACATTATGTTGTGAAGCACTTTGTGATATTTATTTTAAAAGGTGCTCTGAAAATGATTTCTTTTCTCACTCGCTTGTAAAGGGTTTCAGATTGTTTTGTCACCAAAAAAGCTTTTCTCCCTGACTGAGTTAGAAGTAAAAAGGTTAAATATAAATGGAAATTCCTAAAGAGCAACCGACCAAGCAACCAACAAAATGGATTCCGCTTTTTCAAAACTGCTTTTGCATTCTGCATTTGGAAAAATAGTAAAGACAGAAAAGGAAATACAGAAGGGTGCAGCAAAGAAAATTCATATCAAGCTGTTTAGTCAAAGGAGCTTGCAAAGAAAAGCGTCTGGACTTCTTTAAGTTACTTGAAGACGTTTCACCTCTCATCCGAGAAGCTTCTTCAGTTCTAAGGTCAAATGGTGGGGAGTCCCAGATTTAAACCTAGTGGGAGAATCCCTACGAATACTTACGAAGCCTTGAAGCTAGACCCCACAAGCAGCTACAAAAAGAAAGTTATAGTTTGCCTTCAAGACTTTGAAAAGGACAAAATCATTGACCGCCTTACATATCACCGCCTTTACCCAGGGGATGCCATACCCTGCATTTACGGACTTCCTAAAATCCACAAGGAAGCTGTCCCACTCAGACCCATAGTCAGTAGCATAAACTCAGCCACTTATAACATTGCAAAACACCTTGCTACCATCCTGGCACCTCTCGTGGGGAACACCCCACACCACATCAAGAACTCCACCAACTTCACCGACAAGGTCCAGAAACTTCCCCTGGATCCAGATGAAACCATGGTGTCCTTTGATGTAGTCTCTCTCTTCACCTGCAAACCCACCATGGAGGCAGTGGAGACCGTCAGAAAACGACTACAAGAAGACAGCTCCTTGAAAGACAGGACCAACTTCACACCCGATCAGATTTGCACACTGTTAGACTTCTGCCTCGCCACTACATATTTCAAATACAACGAGGGTTTCTACAGACAAAAACATGGCTGTGCCATGGGCTCCCCCGTGTCACCTATTGTAGCCAACCTTTACATGGAGAAAGTGGAAAGGAAGGCTCTTGGCTCTTTCAAAGGAAGAGTACCCAGCCACTGGTACAGATATGTAGACGAAACCTGGGTCAAAATCAAGACACAAGAAGTGGAATCCTTCACTGCGCACATTAACGCTGTGGATAAAAACATCAAGTTCACCAGGGAAGACACAAAGGACGACTGTTTGCCTTTCCTGGACTGCGTTGTGCACATTGAAGAGAATGGCAACCTCAACATCGAAGTTTACCAGAGGCCCACACACACGGACCAGTACCTCCTCTTTGACTTCCATCACCCGCTGGAGCACAAACTTGGAGTAATTAGGACCCTACACCACCGGGCACAACATGTTCCCTCTAAGCCTGAAGGAAAAAAGAAGGAACACACACATGTAAAGGAAGCACTCAAAACGTGCGGCTATCCTAAATGGGCGTTCTTAAAGTCAGCAAAGAGGCACAGAAAAGAAGATCAGACACCAGCGAGGGAGGATAAGAAGGACAGACGCAACAACATTGTCATCCCCTATGTAGCCGGTGTATCAGAGAAACTCAGTTTTCTCCAAGCACGACATCCTGGTGCATTTCAGACCCAGCAACACACTCAGACAAAAACTGGTTCACCCAAAAGACAAAACTCCAAAACACAGACTTAACAATATGGTGTTTGCTGTACAGTGCAGCGAGGAATGCCCAGACCTCTACATCAGAGAGACCAAACAGCCACTTCACAAGCGCATGGCACAACATAGAAGAGCCACCTCCACAGGACAAGACTCAGCTGTCCATCTGCATCTAAAGGAGTGACCTTTGTCTAAAGGACCAACGTCTTCAAGTAACTTAAAGAAGTTACACATTTGCTTATCTTTTTTTAAGGACAGTGTATGCAAGTGGTCCTCATCTTTGGCTCAAAGTCACGCTTCAATCAGCTTGTGAACATCTATGGTCCCAACACCTGAGGGATGACAAATCTTACTCTGCAGCAATATCTTGAAATATGCAAACCACAGTGACTGTCATTTTCTCTTCTTTAAGGTCATGCTAAGGCATTGTTCTTAAATGCTAAAATGATTTAAGAGCTCTCCAGACCCATATCTTTGCAGGGAGTGTGAAAAATGTGTGCAATATTCTGTGGCCTACTCTTGTTTATGTTAATACTATTGGTCAACAACAGTGCTATACATGCAGCACATGTAGTGTTACATGTTTTCCATATGATCTTGTGCCTTAGTAGCTGAGAAAGCAGAACTAAAATATAGAAAGAACTTCCGTATAGGGGAGTAAAATTAAGTTTTAAACACAGATATATTTTCTTTTACACTTTTCCCTCTTTATTGTGAACTCCACTCTGGCACTCTGTTCATCTGGACGTAGCGTTTTCAGTGGGAGAAACGTTAAGTCACTCATTCATGTGACTTCTTCAGTCTCAGTCTCCACTCCGGCTTCTTTTCTCAGTGAAGCCAACTTCTTAAACATTTAGCCTGTGACCTACAAATAATGTCATCCCTGCCAGGTGAGATGGTATAAATTTCTCTGTAGCCTCAACCTTTTGTTTTTGCACAGCTAAAGACCTACGCAAACAGACACCAAAGCAGTGCCATAAGTCCTGCATGAAACAGCCAGTTTGGCAAGATAACGGCTGAGTGTGCT